CTGCAACCATGGGTTCAAAATTAGCAAGGATTCTGACAATTCTGCAGAACTGAGCAGTGTTTCATTCTGATGTGCACAGTCACTGAGTCAGAAGAGTCTTGATAGCACCTAAGAACAACAATAACAAAAGCCAGGTGTGTTAACAACAGACAGATCACTTAGAAGCTCTGCATGGAGACCAGGGAAAGACATTAAGAGTCTGGCTATAAAAACAGTCACCAAAGGAGACCAGAAGTACTTTTTACATGCTCAAAACAACACTATCAGAGGTGTGAAATCAGAGGTTGCATAATTCAAGTAGAAAATACTTCACTCAATTAGTCCAGTACAGTCATTAAAGAAATAAAGTAAACAAACAACAAAACAACAAGTCCCAGGATTAGTACAGAAAACTGATAACAATATATTATCTACCATGTCTAGTTTTTAACAAAAATTACTAAACATAAAAATCAACAACATTAATTCACACATTTCAAATTTTCAACAATTTTCAAGTAGGATAAATAATTTTTTTCTTAATTCTGTCAATCAAGAATCTTATTGTTGTTGTTGGTGTTGTTAAGTGCTTTTGGGTAGAGTTTTCACCAACCTTGAAGTTCAAATTGACCTTGTGGTCCATTGCATTATCCTGCAGTGTCACACCAGGACTCCAAGAATCCTATGGTGGTGATGCTTATGTGCCCTGGAGTCTGTTCCGACTCATAACGACCCTGTACAGGGTTTCTGAGGCTGTAAATCTTTACAGGAGCAGAAAGCCTCATCTTTCTCCTGCAGAATAGCTGGTAGTTTCCAACTGCTGGCCTTGACAGTCAACAAAATTTTCTTTAAACAGTTTAGGCTAAAATAATAGCATTTTCAGATAAACAAATACATTTGAGTAGCTTTGCCTAATAAAAAATCTAGTATTTTGTCACTGAATGAATGCTTCAATACTGCAAGTGGAGGCTTGACTTTTTTCTTCAGTACTTTCAGCTTGAGAAACGTAGAGCATGTTCTCCCCTTCTGGTTTACAAATCCAGGTCTTTGCACATTTCATTATAATACTTGACTGTCTTCTCGAACTACCCTTGGAAATTTTCTGTTCTCTTTGACTTCCTCGTTTCTTCCACTCACTTTAATATCTCTAAGCTGGAGAACAAGTTTTAGAGCCTCTTCTGGCATCCGTCTTGGTATTTTCTTTCTTTCTTGTCTATACAACAACCCTTGGCTTTCTTCATGTACGATGTTCTTGATGTCATCCCATAGCTCTGCTTGTCTTCAGTCATTAGTGTCTAATGCATCAAATCTGTTTTTCAGACAGTCTCTAAAGTCAGGTGGGATATGTTCAATGTCATATTTTGGATCCTGTGGAGTTTTTTAAAAATTCTTCAGTTTCAACTTGATCTTGCAAATGAGCAGTCAAATCAAGAATCTTATTGTTGTTGGTGTTGTTGTTAAGTGCTTTTGAGTAGAGTTTTCACCAACCTTGAAGTTCAAAGCCTTGCTTTGGCTGATGATATTGACCATTTCCACTGTCAATTCCCACAGATGTACTCAATTGGATTTCTGTGTATTCCATCTGGTAAGGTCCATGTGTACAGTCCTTTATTTAGTTTAAGGAGGTATTTGCAATGAATAAGTCATTGGTCTTGCAAAATTCTGTCAATCTCCAGTATCATTTCAATCACTAAGGTCATATTTTCCAATTACTGATAATTGTTCTTTGTTACCAACCTTTGCATTCCAAACACCAGTAATTATGAATACATCTTGATTGAATGTTTGACTAATTTTAGATTGAAGAATTTGGTAGAATTCTATAATTTCATCGTCATTGTCTTTAGAGGTTGGTGTATAATTTAAATAATAGTGACATTAACTGGTCTTCTCAGTTGTTGTTACTAGAGGCCATCAAGTTGGTTCTGACTCGTAACAACCCCATGGACAATAGACCAAAACCCTGCCTGGACCTGTGCCATCCTCATAATTGTTGTTACACTTGAGCCCATTGCTGCTACTGTGCCAATTCATCTCATTGGGGGACTTCCACTTTTTTGTTGATCCTTTTCCCCCTTTACCTAGCATGATGTCCTTCTCCGGGGACTGGTCCCTCTGGATAACATGTCCAGAGTATGGGGGGGAAAGTCTCACCATCCTCACTTCTAGGGAGCATTCTGGCTGTACTTCATCCTACAAAGATTTATTTGTTCTTCTGACAGCTCATGTTGCTTTTAATATTTTTCTCCAACACCGTAACTCAAATGCATCAATTCTTCTAAGGTTTTCCTAATTCATTATCCAACTTTCACATGCATATGAAGTGACTGAAGATACCATGGCTTAGGTTAAGCACACCTTAGTCTTCAAACTGACATTTTGTTCTGAAATATTTTAAATAGGTTTTGAGCAGAAGATTTGCCTAATGCAATACTTTCTTTGATTTTTCAACTGCTGCTTCCATTAGTGTTGATAGTATATGCAAGCAAAATGGAGTTTTTGACAACTTCACCCTTTTCTCCATTTATCATGATGTCATTTATTGGTCCAGTTGTGAGGATTTTTTTTATATATATACATTGAGCTGTAAACCATACTGAAGGCAGTGGTCTTTGATTTTCATCAGGAAGTATTTTAAATCCTCTTTACTTTCAGCAGGCAAGGTTGGATCATCTACAAATCTCAGGTTGTTAGTGAGTCTTCTTCCATTCCCGATGCCACATTGTTCTTCATATAACCCAGCTTCTTAGATTATTTGCTCAGCATACAGGCTGAATAAATATGGTAAAAGGATACAACCCTGACACACACCTTTCCAGATTTTAAACCATTAAAACTATCCTTGTTCTTTTCAAATGAATGAACCTTGTACTACATACAGATTTTTCATGAGTGCAATTAATTGTTATGGAATACCCATTCTTCACAATGTTATCCATAGTTTGTCATGATCTACATAGTTGAAAGTCTTTGCATGGTCAATAAAACACAGACAAATATCTTTCTTGTATTCTCTGCTTTCAGCCAATATCAGTATGCAGTCAGCAATGATATCCTTCATTCCAAGCCCTTGTCTGAATACAGCTTGAACCTCTGGAAGTTCCCTGTTAACATATTGTTGCAGCTGTTTTTTAATTATATCTAGCATAATTTTACTTGCATGTGATATAACGATATTGTTTGATGATTTCTACATTCTGTTGTGTCTCCTCACTGTGAATGGACACAGTTGAGCTAGTATCTGTCTTCCAAATTTCCTGGAAATATATGAGTGCTTGCCTTCTGTGCTGCATCAGTCTGTTGAACGATTTCAGTTGGTATCCATCAATCCCTATAGCATTGTTCTTTGTTAATGCCTTCAGTATACCTTGGACTTCTTCTAGTACCATTGGCTCCTGATCGTAAGCTACCTCTTGAAATGGCTGAACTTCTAACATTTCTTATTGGTATACTGATTCTGTGTATTCATTCCATCTTCTGTTGATGCTTCCTGCAGCATTCAATATTTTGCACATTTGTTAAGTTTTTGCCCATTGTTGTTGTTGTTAGGTGCCATCGAGTCAGTACCGACTCATAGTGACCCTAGGCACAACAGAACAAAACACTGCCTAATTCTGACCCTTCAATATTGAAAGATGAGGCTTAAATTTATACCTTGTAAGTGTATGGATATAAACCTATCACAGACAGCCTTGTACTTCATGTTTTATTGTCACTTTGGTATAAACTAAACAAACTATTATAATTACATTGTGGACTACCATAGACCAGCACACAACAACCTGGTTGCCATTGTTGTGTGCTGTTGAGTAGCGAAGTGAATAACGAACTGGGCTGCTAATAACAAGGTCAGAAGCTTGAATCTACTAGTGCTCTGAGGGAGAACATTATGGCTTTCTGCTCCCATAAAGACTGACAGCCTCGGAAACCCTATACAGGGTTGCTCTGAGTCAGAATTGACTTGGTAGGCCACATCCACCACTGCAGAATACAAATAACACTAGTATACGTCTCTATATGTGGACATGAAAATTGTATTGAGTAAATGCAGCAAACAAGAAAACAATACGTTTAATATAACATTTCATTAATGCAAATCAAAACTACACAGCATACGATAGATATATATTAATATGGAGAAAAACAGCTAGAAGAATGCATATGTAACTGCTAACGCTGTTTACCTCTGGGGAGAATTGTTTGAATTCTATTTCAACAAAAGCATAGTCCTCCATTGTGAAGGAAAAAAGATAACATCAAGTTTTGGTGGATAAAATATATCCCCTCTCAGCTCTCAATCTGCTTTATTAAGTTTAAGCTCATGCATTCACACAATCAACAGAATAATAATATGTACATCACTAATACTGGCATTAATCATAATTGCTACTATTATTAAACTGAACCAAAAGCACTTAATTTAAAAAGACAAACAAAAATGAAGAGAAGCGAGAAGAAAGGAAACAAAATGGAAGAGATACTGATAACTATTTTTAAAATTATGCCTTATATCTCTTCTTTTATAAATGAGAGAAGGAAACCACAGTAGAGATGGCAAAGCTAATCTAGCAATTAATTCTATATTATTTTTGTCTTCCAACTTCTCCACTTGATTTTTAAATCATTTATAAGCTTCTTAAATGTGGAGCAACTTTATATTACCTTTGTAATCCACTAAGTATGCTTCAATGAACACTTACTGATCAGATGAAAGGAATTCTATCCCCAAACAAGCCCACAGTATAATTCTTTTATTTGTATGTTTTTGTACAGTAGCGTAGTGGTTACGAGTCGGGCTGCCAACCTCAAGGTCAGCAGTTCAAAACTACTAGCGGTTCCGTGAAAGAAAGATGAGCCATTCTGCTCCTGTAAAGATTTACAGCCTCAGAAACCCTGTGCCCAGGTCACTATGAGTCGGGGCTGACTACACGGTACTTACCAACAACAACATATGAGTTAATTTTTTACTGACGATATCTAAGTTTAAACAGAATAAATAACTATAGGCTCTAAATCTCTACCTTATATTCATCCACAATAATGCTGAGGGCTTCGTGGCCAGCTTTCCTCATATCTTCCAATTCTTGTTTATGTTTTTCCTGAAAGAAAAAAGAAAACAGCTACACCATGATGGGTTCTTTTGCACTTTTTTTCACATCTACTTGTACTTTCATGAATGACGGGTACCTTGTGGCTCAGCAGTGCTGCAGCTAAAAATGAAAAGCCATGGTTTTGGGGTTGGTTTTGCTTTAAGTTCTGTTTATGAATATTGGGGGGCTCTAAGGGGTTGAGGAATTAAGGGGAAACAATACCCAAGAAAGGAAAACCATGCTGAGTGGTAAGATAACACCAGACAATGGTGTCTTCCCTTGGGACATCTGGAAATTCTGGACCTGGGTCAAGAGACAGGCTACTGGAAATATGCCCAGACAAAACTTTGCCACTAAAAGGCAAGGTTAACAACAACAACAAACACAGCAAAGGTTTAAGCAGTCAAAAACTGTAACTTTGAGGGTCCAAAATCTGAGAGAGAGATGAAGGCAGAGAACTAAGCAAACATTATACTTATTTTTTTCTTCATATATTTTCCAAATTCTGGAGCTGTATTACAGAGGTGCTTACGAAGTCTGGAGCTTAAGACTCTAAAAAGCAGCAGAGTTTCTGTCAGTGTTCAGAGCTACTGAGGCTATTACAGGAAGAGTCCAGAACCTGTCAATAGGTAGGGTCCCATTAAATACTGCAGGCTGTCATGAAGGGTGCACTTTAGAACGAGGAGTGAACAAGACATCTATGTAGCATTTCAAAAATAGTAATACAGCTTCAGTCAGCAGTTCCTGCTTGAATAGGTAGTGGCTCTCAAATTTTGGGTCATGTAAGAATCACCTAGGGATTCAATAAACACAGTTTCAGGTCCTGCATTATTTCAACAAGCTTGGACCTCTACATTTTTAGTATTTCTTCAGGTTATTCTAATACATAACAAAGTTTGAGAGCCACTAAATTCAGGGGGTCAGTCTCCCAATCTACCTGACAAGGAAAAGAAAGAATGAATTCTCTATGGAGGATGTTAACTTCCTACATAACCTCTCCAATATTTCAAACATAACGTTGAGCTTTCAATATAAAATTTCAGAGATGACAATTCACAAGATTAAAAACCAGATAGTACAAAAGAAACAGACACATGAGTGACTAAGAGTTATCACAGAGTTTTGCTAGAGACCCTGTGCACATTAGAACGTAACACTGCCCGGTCCTGTATCATCCTGACAATTGTATGTTTGAGCCTACAACTGCTACCTCTATGTCAACCCATATCTCATTGGGAGTCTTCCTCTTTTTTTGCTGGTCCTCCATTTTATCTAGCATGATATTCTTTTTCAGGGACTGGTCTCTCCTGATAACAAATCCAAAGTATGAGAGACGAAATATCACATTCTCATTTCAAGAGTTTTCATAATGTACAACAAATGTGTTTAAGAAAATGAAGTACACATTTTCACTAGCACAATTACAACATCCTTGTTTCTGTGATTTGACCTTTGCTCCATTAAGGCAGCCAGAATAATTCTTTTAAGGGCCCAACCATTGTCATCAAGTCAATTCTTATTCATAGACACTTTAGGGACAGAGTAGTGCCGCTCCATAGGGCTTTCAAGGCTATAGATGTTTACAGAAGCAGACTGCCATGTCCTTCTTCCACAGAGCAGCCGGTGGGTTCAGCTGAGCGCTTAGCCACTATACCACTTGTGCCCCTTAGATTTAAGGGCACTCATCTAAAATGGATGCTATAATCTCCATGAGGACAGAAATTCTTAACTACTGCTATATCCAAAACCCACTACCTTCAACTTGATTCCAATTCATAGAGACCCTATCAGGACAGAGTAAAACTGTTCCATGGGGTTCCTAAGACTGTAAATCTTTATGGAAGCAGACTGGAGTGGCTGGTAGGTTCAAACCACCACCCTCTCAGTTAGCCACCAATGCTTAATCCATGCCAACACCAGTAGTCCTTCTGCTGTATCCACACCCCAAAAATAGTACTTGGTACAGGAAGTGTCCAATAAATATGTGACAGAGAAGGAAGTATCACACAGCTGCCCCAAATTCCCAAGTAGCTTCCATATTACGACAAATAAAATCCATCATCCTTTCATGACTCAGAAGGCATACCACACTCTCCCAGACTCCCTTCATCCTTAGTAAACTGTTGCCACTGGTCTTGCCCAGCCATTACCAGTGAACTTCTGTTCTGAAGCTTTGCGCTCCCCATTTTCTCTACTTGAGCTCTCTATGGCCCTGTAGGAAAAGCGCTGGACTGGTAACTGAAATGTCAGCTGCTCATAACCACCAGCCACTCCCAGAAACCCTATAAATGAGTTGGACCTGACTCAAAGGCACACAACAGCAATCAATTTGGAATGCTCTTCCTACAGATAGCATGTACTCACTTTCTCAAAAATCCTCTTAACACAGAAGTCTCCCCAGGGCTCCCTAGAAAATGGTAGAAGACATCCCTCTCACTCCACTAAACAGATGTCACTTGTCTTCATAGCATTTATCACGACCTAATATTGTGGCTTTATTGTTCATTATCTACTAGATTGGAGTCCTTCTGTGGTGTTGTTGGATGAAGCATTGGACCACAAGGTCGGTGGTCCAAACACCAAACCACAACTGCAAGGTCGGTGGCTCAAATTCACCAGCCGCTCCTCAGAAACTCTATATAGGATCATTGTGAGTTGGAACCAACACAGTGGCACTTAACAACAACATCTACTAGATTAAAAGCTGAAATTGTGTCAATAGTCTTCCCAGTGCCAACAATAATGTATGGCCTCGGACACAACAGGCACTCATCAAATATTTATTAAACATAAAAGATACTATAAAAGGTTTTTTAGGACACTAACTCCAAAAATTATACATGGATTTTTTTTTTTCTTTTCTTGTAAAAGAAGAAGAAATGAAAGAAAGAGGAAACAATTGCAAAAAATGAGAAGCTGGAAGCCATCAGAAGCAGAAAGTGATTGGAAGCCAGGAGAGTAATTAGAGGACTATAATATTTTGGAAGTGATAATGATAACATTCTCTAATACTATGACACTTCAAAAAGTGATAAAAAGATAAGACGCCAGAGAAAATCTCAAAGTTTTACAATAAGTTCAAGTTGGGAGTGATGTTTTACTCACCAGTATGACTAGCTCAAAAGGTGCCTTATACATACTATGAGCTCAAAAAACAGGAAAGAAATAAAGCAGAAATAAAATGGGGCAAATACATTTGGGAATAAGAAAAGAGTTTTACTAGGAAGACCCCGAGCGAGATGGATTGGCAGAGTCAGCATCAATGGGCTCAACTGTGGCAACAGTAGTGAGGTGGGCCCAGGATCGGGCAGTGTTTTGTTCTGCTGTACATAAGTCGCTATGAGTTGGTACCTACTCAATGGCACCTAACAACAAGGAAAGAGTTACTTAACATTAAAACAAAATGTTAAATAGTAATCATTATTTAGAAGCTGGTCCTAAAAAAAAAAAAAAAAGGCTATTTTATTAGTTCACATAGATACTTGCTAAATGGATGAATGAAATCAAGACCAATGCTGTTTTCCCTATATAAACACAGTATATGAATTAGAGCAAGTTAACAGACATTATGGGGCATGTTTCCTTATCTGTTAAATGAGAGGGTTGAAGAAAATTTTTGTAAGATTCGGTGCCAATTTTTTTAAAGGCTATTTTATAATATAGCATGAGAAACTAGTCAACTCTTCTTTGCTGATTTCAGAATTTCTGATGGCAATTGTACAACCATATTTAACACATCAGCCTGTCTAGTTACTAAAAGAAAAACACAGGAATAACCAAATAGTCATACATGGCCTGAAATTCTTAGCTCAAGAATACAGAGCCAAAAATTTACAAGCTATCTTCAAAGTGGTCAAAACCAAATTTGACCATAATGGTAGCTTTCTTTTAAAATGTCAAACCCCAAAGCATCAATAGAAAGGAAAGACTCAGGAAAACGTTCTCACTTTAAATAAAATTACAGAATTTTTAAACAAGAACAGACTTGAAAGGTAAGCTATTCCACAGCACATTTGATAATGAGTAAAATGAGGTACAAAGAGATCCAGAACTTTGTTCAAAGTCACTGAGTTCAATAAGAGTAGGGAAAGCCTGAACCAGGAGTCTTACTTAATCTGATGTTTATTGGAAAATGCTTCAGCCACAAACTGTACTAACTGCAATCAACATTATTTGAGTATCCTCCCAATCCCTCATCAACAGGTTTGTTCTCTGCAAAATGCTTAATAATGTATAAAATCATTTGTCCTAAGACTTGCCTCATGATAAAACTAAGATGCATACTTTGATACTCTTGATTAAAATCTGAAATAGTGCCAAGTCATTAGTGCCAGCCAGAAATTTTGGTCTGACAAAAAGGATGCAAAGCAAGGTACTTTTTGAAAGTTATCAGAAGCAACCCATTATTCGCTATCCATAACCACTCATGCCAATTTCTTGTAAAATGACTAAATATACTTAGGTCTTATGCCTTCAATATGCCTTGACAGGGTTAGCATTTTTTTAAAAGTCCATGTTAAATAAATACATATACAAACTCAAAGCACAGAAAGGAAGAAATATGGGTACTTCCCCAGAAATTTAATTAGCAACTTTTTTGAGCAATCATCATTGGTATATTAATGACAAAACTTAATTCAGATTCCCGAAATAAAACTTATTTAAAAATCTCAAGCTGATGGCACAAACTGATAAACATTCTTAATTTATATTCTATTGCTGTTTTCCACTGCTAAGCCAAAGTAAAAGCCTAACTAATCACCTCTAACAGATTAATTCATGCATAGCCAACAGGATCCTCTGCCACATGTATAGTTAAAAGCCAACATTTGATTGACATATTTGGAATGAATTAAACAGCTTGAAAAAAAGAGAGAGAAGGAAAAAAGGAAATTCCAGTAAACCAACCATTCTATTCCACCTATTAGAAAGCAGTTGCTTCCCACTTTCAAAAATCTTTGGCCCAGAGCCAGTCTATAAGTATCCTAAAGTATAATTAGTTACTATAT